ATTACTGACTCACATTAGATACATTAAATAGATTATAAGAACCATTGTAATCATCTACTGAAGCCGAGGACAAAGTGAAACTTATGTGGGTAATCCACGAGGAAGTTGGCTCACCACTCCTCCAAGGAGCCTCACCGGACCGGGCTGGGTCTCTGTCTTCCTCGGGGTAAAAAAAATCCTTGATCACACCAGACACAGAGAGTAAACTACTCCAAATCTAACTTAGATCTTAAAAAAAAAACGTAAAAAACTCATTACTAATTTTCAGTATCACAGGTGTACCTCCAAAAACTATCTTTACGATTTTATGCCCTAAGAAACATATTTCATACACAGGGAAATTTTTGTTTCATTTAAGACGTCATTTACCTTCCAAATATAAACACACACACACTACCTCGGCTCAGGCAGCCCCGCGGGATAAGTTGTATTGCCTCCTGGTCATAAAATTAAATCCGTTTTAACCATAAACTCTCATTAACTTGTGTGGTTGAGGGAACAAATATTGGGTACAAGATGGCGAGTATTGGAATTATCGTAGTGAAGAATTGTTTATTATTCGGTTTAATATTAAAGTCACATACACACACTGTATATTTTCAGCCTTCCAGCTGCCATGCTCTTTCAATAAACCGTTAATTATTATTATTATTATTATTATTATTATTATTATTTTTACACACTGGTGACCTGGGTTACTAGCAAGGTACTCAGAGCCTACTGGGTGAGGCAGGTAAGGTCGTTAACCCGAGGGGTGTGTAATCCTCTGAAGCTTCCGGTGTTGTTTATAGTTGAGGATCGTTTCAGACTCAGCCATGTTTTGTTCTTTATTACATTAGATGAGCTTCTTGGTGTATATGTTCGTCTATCTTTCTTTACTTGGCGTGTGTGTGTGTGTGTGTGTGTGTGTGTGTGTGTGTGTGTGTAAGTGTGTGTGTGTGTGTGTGAGGCTAAACGTATGTATATCACATACAGTTATGCTATTCTTTAATGTTTTTTGATGACACGACCTTAAGCACTTGGCAGCCATACCACACATTGCAAGGCCTCAGGATAATCCACCAAGGCATAACTACTTGCCGGAACTAGCTGAGGATAACAACCATTGCCAAATTCCTCTTTATTTTGTACATTAGGCGTGAGTGAGTGTATTAGCTCCAGGCCGGCAAATACTAGCATGCTGAAGCTGCCACCACAGTCGATCGTTTTTTTTCTTTTAACATAAAATAACTGTAATGATCATTGCTTTCCACAAGACGTGACATAGAGCATCGTGATTCAAAACTCAAAGTTACATTTGTAGTGAAGAAGGTGATGAAGGTAGTGTGGCGAGCAGCGACGTGTGAGGCCCTCAGTGTGTCAGTCTATTATACGATACATTTATATACAGTCAATTATTATCTTGACATTAACTGTTTTGTTTACTAGTCGATTATTTTCTATCACTGGTAATTGTGGGGAAGAGCGTGGTGGTGGAGCGGGGGCGGTTCTCAAACACTTGGCACAAGATACTGTTGTCGAGGTGAGGGGGGAGGGGGGTGAGGTATGAACCACAGAGAACCAAGAAAGAATAACAGAGAGAGAGAGAGAGGGAGAGAGAGAGAAAATAGACATGACCCAGGTAAAAAGAGCGAGATATGAGGAAGACTTCAGGGATAGTTGGAGCAAGATTCGACTTTGTCAAGATTGGTTGAGAACAAAGGTCTTGTTCTGAAGGTAGAGCTGACGTCATGGGGAATCTCACAATACCAAACTTTTACCACAACCACTACCACAGTTGTCACAATACGTACACGATATATATGTATGTATGTATGTGGTTCCATGACATTTGCTCAAAAGACAAATACAATATTAATGGAAAAGAACACAAATGCTCACAACTTTTTTTTTTTTGCAAATCAATTTATAAAAAAAAAACAGTAGACAAACCTAACCTAACCTAACAGCAATACAGCACTGCATCCTGCTGGAGTAGTTATGATTTTAATATATTGTGACATTTTTATACACTATAATTTGCCAATAAAGATTATAAAACATATAGTAACAATTTTACCACATAATTTGTTTACTGCTTTTTGTAAATTGTGATTTGTCTTGTGAGCATATGTCGGCACACCGTATGTATGTATGTATGTATGTATGTATGTATGTATGTATGTATGTATGTATGTATGTATGTATGTATCGCTATAAATAAAAGAACCTATGATAACACAGAGAGAGGAGGGGGAAGGGCGTGTGTTCTGGTGTTAACTAGATAGCCATGGGGGGGTTGGTGGGGGGTCACCTTGGCAGGTTCACTAGTGTAAAGTTACAGCAGTAGCTACCTCGCATGGCTAGGGGGGTGGGAGGTGGTGTTTGGTGTGTGGAGAGCAGTGATGGTGGGTAGAAGAAGGGGGGAGGAGAGGAAGAGATTGGTGGGGAATTAGAAGAAGGAGGAAGGGGAGGAGGAAGAATTGGTGGGGGGTGTTAGAAGGAAGGGGGAGGGAGGAAGGGTGGTGGGGGTGAAAGGAAGGGGAAGGAGGAAGGGTGGTGGGGGTAGAAAGGAAGGGGGGAGGAGGAAGGGTGGTGCAGGGTAGAAGGAAGGGAGGAGGAAGGGGTGGTGAGGGGAGTAGAAGGAGGGAGGAAGAGGTGGTGGGGGAGTAGAAGGAAGGGAAAAGGAGGAAGGGTGGTGGGGTAGAGGAAGGAGGAGGAAGGGTGGTGGGGGTAGAAGGAAGGGGAGGAGGAAGAGATTGGTGAGGGAGTAGAAGAGGAGGAAGAAATTGGTGGGGGTAGAAGAGGGGGAGGAGGAAGAATTGGTGGGGGAGTGCAGAAAGGAAGGGGGGAGGAGGAAGGGTGGTGGGGGGAGCTGGAAGGGAGGGAGGAAGGGTGGTGGGGAGTGAGAGGAAGGGGGAGGAGGAAGAATTGGTGGGGGTAGAAGGAAGGGAAGGGTGGTGGGGGAGTAGAAGGAAGGGGAGGAGGAAGGTGGTGGGGGTAGAAGGAAGGGGGAGGAGGAAGGTGGTGGGGTAGAAGGAAGGGGAGGATGAGGGTAGTGGGGTAGAAGGGAAGGAGGAAGGGTGGTGGGGGGGAGTGAGAAGGAGGAGGAGGAAGGGGTGGTGGGGGGAGTAGAAGGAAGGGGAAGAGGAAGGGTGGTGGGGGGTAGAAGGAAGGGGGAGGAGGAAGGGTGGTGGGGGTAGAAGGAAGGGGGAGGAGGAAGGGTGGTGGGGGTAGAAGGAAGGGGGAGGAGGAAGGGTGGTGGGGTAGGAGGAAGGGGTAGGAGAAAGAGGTGTGGAGGACTGGGAGAGGAAGAAGGGTATATAGTACAAAAGTCTACACTTCTGCTCAACAAAACAATACTTTGCTATACAACGTCTATGAATATTAAAAAAAAAGTATGTTAAGTACCATACGACAGAGAGAGAGAGAGAGAGAGAGAGAGAGAGAGAGAGAGAGAGAGAGAGAAGCTGTAACCTGGATTCAAGAGTATATACTGTAATAACAACGTCATAAACCTTATTTAAGAACCTGATACAAAAACAAAATATAGTCCACAAAGGGTGACTGACCTCTCGTAGTGGCGGAAAATGAAGGATCAACTGTGTGGTAGCGAGTATGTGTGTTTAGGACAATATTTTACGTCCATGGTTAAGTGACTGTACACTTAGTATTTGTAAAGTAACTTGTATACTCGCTCCCAATGGCTATTCTATGTTTAAGTAATTGTGCAAGTTTATTTTTATTGTTCTTATGTGAGATTTGGGGAACGTATAGATGTAATACTCCATCTGTGACCTGATGTAATACTCCATCTGTGACCTGATGTAATACTCCATCTGTGACCTGATGTAATATTCCATCTGTGACCTGATGTAATACTCCATCTGTGACCTGATGTAATACTCCATCTGTGACCTGATGTAATACTCCATCTGTGACCTGATGTAATACTCCATCTGTGACCTGATGTAATATTCCATCTGTAACCCGATGTAATACTCCATCTGTGACCTGATGTAATACTCCATCTGTGACCTTATGTAATACTCCATCTGTGACCTGATGTAATACTCCATCTGTGACCTGATGTAATACTCCATCTGTGACCTTATGTAATACTCCATCTGTGACCTGATGTAAGTGTAGGGTCACGGAACTGATCAACTATACCACACCATAACATTTATCACACTATGTTACGGTGGCTACAGCATTGTGTGACGGTGACTACAGCATTATATTGTACACAACAAAACTATCAACACCATAACCAGATCATCGCCTTCACAAGGCTATAGCTGTTATTACCTTCTGACAGATTCGTTAGTAACCTCGTCTGGTCAAAATTATATTTAGCTTTACTATTCCTTGGTGGATCTAAAAAGTCCCCAATAAAAATAACACTTATAATAACAGCAATAATAATAATAATAGTAATAATAATAATAATAATAATAATAATAATAATAATAATAATAATAATAATAATAATAATAATAAATAATAATAATATACAAACTGCTACAATTCAGGGACATTTGGTGATCGTTGATGGTCGCGGTTTCATCAACAGCTCAATTATTTATTAGGTTCGTCGTCCGGCCGAGCTGAGTCTTGTAGCAGGTGCAGGAGAGCCTTGGGTGGGAAGAGGTGATGTAACTTGACCAGTGAAGTGGGGAAGGGGTTGGGGGAGGATATGCCGCATTATATCTTAATTCATTCCTCACCTTAAAAAATCACTCACTGCCGCCACACATGTAAAGCAGTGTCGCAGACCTACCTGAGAGCTTTAATTGGAAAGCATGAGATAATGAAATCAATACTTGAAGAAGCCACATTTTCGCTGAACACTGGGAGGGTGTTGGAGGCTCCCGGTTATTCCCACCCCACAATACGTGCGGGAGAGAAGATGGCTGTGATTGGTTGAGGGTAGCATTACTACCCCCACCGGGGTCTGGCGCCTGACATGCTTCAGGTGGGGAAGGCCTGATACCACCTCCACCCTGCCAAAGCTCCTCCACCCACTGCCAGTGTCCACGGTGCCTGGGATCATAAGCTAACAGGACACACCACTGTCCAGAGGGCGGCGGTGGGCGGTGCTGATAGCTAATAACTCGGGTCTCCACTTACCCCACCCGAGGCAGCCAACACTGCTGAGAATACAGGAAGGGAAGCTCACCCCGCGCGGGTCCTGATTGGATAAAAGTGTATCCCAAATTTTGCGACTAACCGAAAACAACGGAAGATGGAAGACAACGCGGTAGACAACGCGGAAGAGCCGCCCGCTATTGAGGTAACACCAGCAGAAGGTGGGGGTGTGTCTGATTCCTTACCAGAGAAACTATTCCAGTTGGAGCAGAAAGAACGCAAGGCAAGCAAGAGGCGACCGGGATCATTTTGGAAAAAACCTCCCACGTTTGTTTACGCCAACAATTTTGGTTTTGGAATACATAGTTACCAGCCTATGATAGATTACCTTGACGCAAAGGATGACGGACTGCCAGTGAACAAGGACGACATCCACCTGCCATTGATGGAGGAGAGATGTATGAGAAAATATGCTTCTGATAAGCCGTTCAAATGGTATCAAAATAATGATATAGATAAATACATCGACAAGGGAGAAAAGATCCGCACACAGATCAGACAAAACGATGCAGTAGGCGTGAGCAACGTATTGAGACGAACACACACCAATTGGTCTATGACAAGGAAGTGGGTTCAGCTAGTCAAGAAATCGTATGTGGTTGACTATCGTAAATTACACAAAAAGGCATCCGAGTTTGAGGACACAAACTACCGCTCGCCAACGCCCGTCAAGGTCGTGGACTACAGGGAACTCACGCCAAAACCGCGCTACCTCGACGATTTATCTTCCGAGTTTGCCAGTGTAGTGAGAACACTCGCCCAGAGCAGGACGGAGCACGAGCAGGTGATGGCCAGTCGTCAGGAGAAGATGAAGATGTTGGACAACAAATTCGAGGATACTATTGATCATATATATGAACAAATGAAGCGCATCAACAAACGTGCTGATACCTTCTCTTCCTCCCCCATGGACCCTAGGGAAATCGAACCCGCTGAACATGAATTGACTCTTCGAAATAGGATACGCCGTCAAGAGGAAATAAAAAATATGATGGAATGTGTAAATGATCTCACAGAAATGGACAGTGCCAGGAACACACTGCGCTCTAGCTTGCGCAGTCTCGACAATGAAGTGCTTGGGCTCAGTCACCGTGTAGACGGCATGAGGGAGCTGCAGCAGACGGCGGAGCACTTGTACAACCCTGATCGCGACGTTGAACTCGACATGTTGAAGGCACAAATTGCTGCTCGCAGGAGTCAGTCTCGTGCTCGCTCCATTGCTCGGGAGATCGAGGAAGATGAAATTGAAGAATTTAGAAGTTGCAGAAGGCCCAAACAAGCTATACTCTTTCCAAGTCGTGAAAGAGTGACCACAAGGCCCAGAGAGTCACTCATGCGCGAGGAAGTCATCTCCGACGTTCATGCTCGCGTCCTCAACAAGGCAGGAGAACTGGGTACTCGCACTAGTGAGCAACGAAGGATCAACAGCCGAGCTCGTTTTGTTAACGTGTTTAAGCCTCGTCCCGACACTGCCGACTGTGAGCTGTTAGTGCCTCCCTCCCGTACGGAATTGAACATCGACTTCATGGCTAAGTCTCTGGCAACCAGGGGTAATTGTCAACGTCGCTACGACATCGACACAGAGGTGGAGGCGCCCCGATCCAGCATCAACACCAACGCGCACAAGGATTACTGTGAATTAAGGGCCAGGAAGCCTATCGAACAGCATCCATCTCTCAGCAACCGAGTTAGATGTGCCATTATCCGTGCCCGCGCCAGAAACGCTCTCCTCGGGTACTAGATGTCCACGCCACCAACAGTGCCTACGTCAGGAACTCCTCCACGGCGTCCTGCTCCTCATTACAACCTGACAACACTTACTTTGCCCTTATTGAATCAAGAGAAGGAGAAAGACCCCCCTCAGATGTAATGTTGGTCTTACAGAGCAGCTCATAAAACTTCCAGGGTTTGTTCAACACACGTTTCTCCAAAGCTTAAACTAGATGCCCTCCGGATGAGTTTGATTTCCATTTTTTTTTTAACCCAATACGGAAGTCTGTGAACGATGATATGACCAAAGATGAAGTGAACTGAGAAATAATTGACAACAAGCAGTGATATGTAAAGAGGATTGTGTGAAGTGAAGACGACCATGTGATCTCCCTTTAAGGACACATCGTATAGTGTTGACAGAACGAACTCAAGTGCCCCCTCGCTCTCAGTGTAGCCACAACGAACTCCGTGTTATCTTCATACGAGTAATCGACGAAGTTTTCGAATTATTTAATCATACTTCTTACGACACTATTGTTTAAGAATATTATCCTTGTGGTCCAACAGCATTATCGTAGACATATAATGTTTGTGTGGACTGCCTTTTACTCTAAGTATCACCCCCCCATCTCCAAAAAAAACCAAACAACTATATACAATGCAGCATATCATATGTTTTAGCATTTGCTTGTGTATTCTTCTGTTTCACATTGATATCAAAATAATTATAATGATATATAAATAAATATTCATAAAAAACAGAATTCCGTGTATGACTCAGACAACCTGTGTGACGGTGTGTGTAAAGATAGCCTCAAGTGTCCGCCCCGCCCGGGCTAAAGGTGGGGCTACACTCACTCTCGCTTGGTCTATAGCTCAACCATTTATCTTCTCTCTGTTAAGTTATTTCCTCTTTAGTATTATATATCTCTCTGTCTCTATCACATTTTTCTTCTCACCACACATTCATTTATGAAATATAAATAATCAGAACATTATATACAATGCTAGTATACGAGACAAAAGATTATTATTAGTGAACTTATTGTGTTGTTGATGACTCCAGCTAATGCTGTGTATATATATGAAGTGGATTTATATCAATAATCTCTAATATTCTTTTCTGAGTAAGACAATATGTGGGTAAGTGCTATTCCGCAGAAGATGAACAAGGATGGTGAAGCCTGGGCTCAATCTACGCACTCAAACTCAAATTTCAAAAATGAAGAAACAAAAAAAGAAGACAAAGGAATTTCGATATTTTGAAAGTCTGCAAATTGTCAATCCTATGAATTCAAGGTATTTTGTACCGGGTAACACCGACCCAGCAATGATGCAATGTGACGTCAAGTAGAGAGGATGAATCACTCGGACAAACACAAATACACCCCCATAAAAATACCCATCAAACAAACAAATACACTAAGAAAAATCACAAAAACAAACGCAAATACACCCCGAAAAACTCAAACACAAATACACCCAAAATATCTCACACTACAAATAAATACAATGTTAATCACAATAGAAATATTTACTGAGCTACATCACATTTGCTTGTTAACCCAAACGCCAATACTCTATATGCCTCTATACGACACCACAGAGACTCTATATGACTACACAACACCCTTTATGCCTCTATACCTGTTCTTATGCAGTGGAGGACAGAAGTTGGTTCCCTGTAGTGAAAGTGAGTCACAGGTCTCTTACCCTTTACGACTCCCGCTTCACCTCACTGTACCCTTCACATCTTACCCTTTACTACTCCCACTTCACCTCACTGTACCCTTCACATCTTACCCTTTACTACTCCCACTTCATCTCACTGTACCCTTCACATCTTACCCTTTACTACTCCCACTTCACCTCACTGTACCCTTCACATCTTACCCTTTACTACTCCCACTTCACCTCACTGTACCCTTCACATCTTACCCTTTACTACTCCCACTTCACCTCACTGTACCCTTCACATCTTACCCTTTACTACTCCCACTTCACCTCACTGTACCCTTCACATTTTACCCTTTACTACTCCCGCTTCACCTCACTGTACCCTTCACACACAAGTGGACATCAACTCGGGGCCCAAACACTTCCTCTGTCAATCATATCCTTATTTGTACACAGTTTCTTATTTCCATCTAATTAATTGTCTCTACTTCTCAGAAAATGTTATTATAAAACACAGTCCCAAACATCTGACTGGAAACATCATAACCTAACCTAACCAAACCACCGATTATCTCAAGATCAAGGTAAAGAAGAAAAAAAAAGAGAAAACAAATTATAATATAAATATTTACCTATTACGTATCAAATTATATACTACTCGAAATACATTATAGAGAAAAGAACGATAAACAGGACCAACAAGAGGGCAGGTGAACAGAGATCTGCCCTGGACACACTTCTCCCGGATTGTACCTTGGGGCAGGTTTCTATAGGGTGAGGTTAACTGCCCTGTTGACTCTGGTAAACTATCGGGGTTTTCTAATATCCCAAAACACTGTTCTTAACTGGTCTATATTTTATGTAATTCATGGGCGACTTCATGTTAACATTCGTTCTAAATCAGGTTCAAGATATATATTGTGGTTATTGAGGGAGAGTTAGGTGGAGACTTGGAAGCGATTTTCTTTTCCCATCACAAATTAATTATGAGGCAGGCGAAGCTTACACTAACAATGTACTATAATTAACTCATTACACTAAAACAAACACAAAAACCCCGTAAACGTTTTTTTTTTAATGTTTGAGGACACCTTTAACCGCTACCCCAATGTGACGTTGCCTATTTTCCACCTACAACCCTACCCATCCCTACCTCCCTCCCTGCCTACCGAGTTCTTTTCGTCCACAACTGTAAATTACTGTCCACGAGGATGAACGGTTATAACCCAAAATCACCAAAACAAAGGTGAACGTCATATCCACATCATAAATATTAAACTGTTAACACTCCTCAAGGTCTACTCAGCAGATAGTCACGACATCTTTCTCTCTTTTCCTGATGTGTATTTATAACTCTTTGAAAATACGAAGAAGAGCTCTAAAAATATACGGCAAATATCCTTAAGAAATATACGAGAGATTAACTACAAGACTTGCTCACGGTACATTACGATTAGTAATACACTTATGAATAAATTACCTCGTTGAAGTACAGTGTTGTGTCGCTAGTTCACTTTGGAACACCTGGCACAATGTAAACAGTGAAGGAGAGTCAGGAAGGTCAGGGTTAACAATAAGTGGTGTAGTCGTGTGTGAAGGTTGACAAAGTGGCCAGACCAGTGATGGTGTTGTGTAAACCAAGAAGGTGAGACTTATTCGATCCAACCGGAGGGAGAGCCTGGACTACTAGCACCGTCACTAGCACAACCAGGCAATAGACAACCTCCCTAGACCAGCATCCGCCAGTAGGGTCGGCGGAATATGAAATAAGGCCCTCAACACACCCATATATGGGACAGGGTAGGATGTTTAGTGCCTGTACCAACAGACAATAATTAACCCATGATACAACCCTAACACACTATTAGCTTAGCTAGGCGGTCAGCCCTCCAGCCCTCCCTCTCTTACCTCCTCCTAAATTTCTTCAATTTCCGAACTATAACTTCCTTCCCCCACCTCTAATCTTCTTTCACCCCTCCTTTCTACCAAAAAAGACACCGCCACTAGCGCAACCAACGGGAGGGGGAGAAAGGGGTTGAGGGCGACCGCAACTAGCACCGGTACAAGAATAAACTACAACATTTTTATTATGTATCAAATATTCATAAGATGTACGCGATGTATTATCATGGTATCATAAACTATATAATTTACTCACTGTTAAGTTGTAGTGACAATGGAAGACAAAAGTAAAATGCTTAATATTATTTTATTAGAAGACGACAAGATGGCGTTTGGCCAGTGTGGGGGCGAGGAAGTGTCCGGTACAGTTCTATTTTGGATCTAGTGTGTGTGTGTGTGTGTGTGTGGTACAAGCCTGGCCAGAGACACCAGACTGGGCCACAGTGTACATGACTCCCTCTCACCTTCCTCCTTCTTATACCAAACCAAACCTGTTTCACCCACCCGTGGCACCTTCTCTTGGCACTTAACCGTGGTGTACAGGATACTCATTCAAGACATCCATAGTGGTGGTTCTTATACTGCGTTGTCACCTACCTAGGATACCCACCTCTGATTCTCACATGATTTACACACACACACACACACACACACACACACCTAACTTACTCATACTCAATATACAAGTAACAAAACCTAGCACTTGCCTGTAAAAACAAAAAAACAAACCTGTATACTTTCCTATAAGGGCTTCTCAGCTTCAGCATCATGTCAGAACAATTCTCAAACAATATCAAACCTTCCGCCCATCAGCTTCGTCTACAACACTCACCTAAACTCAGCATTCAAGACCTAATTTCTTCTGACCAAAACGTATTTCTTTCGTTAACCAATCCCCCCCCACCACCTATATACATCTGCCTTCAGTAGAATACAAATGTTCGGGTTACATATTACAGCCACGACACCATCTCTGTTATTTCTGAGACGTGGGAGGCCACGTTTTTGTGGTAGTGCCAGGGAGTACCAGTAAAGTGCCATTAAAGCGTTTGGCACAGTGCCATGAGGGAATATCCAACAGAAGCGACCTTGCCGCTTCACAAGCGACCAGCACCCGTCACTACAGCGTCGTGTGCAGATATAACACAAGTCAACCTCCATGTTTCCTCAGCCACACCTTACAAGCTAAACTAAACAACCGAGGCTCATCTGTCCGTTTACCACCGTCTCTAACTTCCACAAGGTCGCTAAATCATAATTTCTTTATTAGGGAAATGATGACAAAAAATAATGCTGTAAATGGAAGAACGTATCAACTGACCTACAGGGTGTTCAAAGAGTCCGTACACCCGTCATAATTAACAAATGCAGTATAGTTATTTACCTTGTTCTACTGACAGTAAATGTTGGAAGTGGATGTTATTCCCAATATTTACAGTAAGTATAACAAGGTATATAACAGTGTAGGTATAACAAGGTATATAACAGTGTAGGTATAACAAGGTATATAACAGTGTAGGTATAACAAGGTATATAACAGTGTAGGTATAACAGGTGCACAGGGACTTTCCGATCAGCCTGTATGAGCACAGTTCGTATTGTTAATAAACTAAATAAATAACAAAACTCACGGGAGTGTTGACCTGTGTGTGTAACATGATCAAGAAGACATACTAACGAATATATTTCTATTACTATACAGTATGTTTGTATGTATGTATGTATATATGTATGTATATATGTATGTAAGGGGGAGAAGGTGAAGTCTTGGCGCCAGGTTGAGGGGTGTGGCTTACACAAACATCAAACTCGTCTCTGTGATCGATATCTGTACTTACGTTAGACTGAAATATTCTTTGATGACCATGTGAGCTTTAGTGATTAATCTTTACGACAACCTTAACGTTATGGACGACAGTGACTTGATATGTTAATGATGCTATATTGGTGGTACGGGCGCTAGTGGCGTCATATACCAGTATTATGTTAATGGTATAGAGATAATGACGACATATCAGTGTTATGATAACAGTATGGGGGATAATAACGTCATATGTCAGTGTTATGTTAATGATGTGGGGATAATGACGTCAGATGCTTAAATAAGTACAGTAGTATTTGTCAACTATTTTTTAACTTGAACAGATTCGTGATCTTATGAATACTGGAACGTCGGGTAGTAGGTGCGAGTTGCCACAGCTCACCAGCTTTGGGAGGTGATGAGTATGTTGGAGTCATAGGCATCAGGAGGCTGCCACAAAGTCTACTACAATTTAACGTATGCGACGTGATCTTAAAATTAACTACGTTCATGTATTCTCTGTCATAGTTGTCGTCTCTTACGGCATTTGATGAAAATTGATTCTCATAAAATTGATACCTTTTAATACAGAGATTCATATAACAAGAAAACATGTTCGAAAAGGTCCACATATTTGATCTCGAGGTGACAATAATCACACGTTTAGACGAAAACTTGATTTTAAATTGGAAAAGAAACGATGTCAGAATTCTAACTACACAGCAGAACAAATGTCGATTTTACAGTACAGTACAGTAGTCGCTCGTTGGGTGGGCGGCGCCTGAAGAGCGACCATCCCACAAACAACAGCATCATATGAGAACTCATCGCTTACTGCGGATGTTCTAAGTGTGAAAACAACCACGTGTTCCATTAATTACGAAACTCCATCTCTTCCTTTGTTCCTATCTGGTATGATATATCTGGGCGTGAGTCAAGCGTTGTTTGCTTCCATTAGCGGATACTAATATATCAGTGATTGAGGTGTGGCCCCAACGACTATTTGTGTCCACCAAGATATGGCGAGGTAGTAGCCTGGCCGGCACGGCACGAGGGCAAGTGTGACAAGCACTCTCTAAACATAGCTTGTTCTTACCCTCCCATTACTACACATTGCTGAACAACCTGCTCTCCCTCCCTTTCTTTCTTATTAATGTTTACATTTATACTATTTTACCGATCTATGCTAGTTTCACACACACACACACACACACACACACACACACACACACATAATTCGTAACCCATTCCCCAAATATGTAACTGTATATTTTCAGCCTTCTGGCTGCCAAGACCTTTCAATAAACCGTTAATTATTATTATTATTATTATTACACACACACACACTCACACAGACCAGCCCAGACCATCAGCTGTAAACTATAATAATTTGTTTGTTCAATTCATGTTCCTTCTCCTATCAGTAATGAAAACTTTTGTCTAATGTATATTTTCAGCCTTCGGGCTGCAGCACTTTTTCAATAAACCGTTAATTATTATTATTATTATTATTATTATTATTATTATTATTATTATTATTATTAGGTGTAGGGATGTAGCGACTACATATTTTACCCATCACATACAAGTACACACACTGTAGCGACAATTCACAAGAATTAAAAATAATTTAAATAATCTGGAAATAGGTTTTGGCATCGTTTTAAAGGTGTTTCACAAGTGACTTTATCAACAATAAGGATCTTGGCAAGAGGACGTCCCGGTGTTGTCCACAGCCATTCATTTGTGACATAAATACCCTAACTTGTGTCACGTCTTTTTGGGGGGAGATTTTTCTTCTTTTCACCATTGGTCTTAGACGGTTGTTGAACACACTTTAAGAGAAAATAAGAGAAATGGAAATAAATGCAGAGAGTTTTGTTCTGATTTATTATAGTGAATGCCAACGGCTGCAGAGTCTTACAGTGCCAGCATATTTGGGAGTTGGCGTTAGTAAAGAATAATATATTAAGTTCTTGTTGGATCAGATGCAAGACAGATTAGGTTATGGGACGGAAACACGAGACATTGATGACGTGTGTCGCGTAAGTATTTTGGGAAAAGGATAAGATTTGCAGATTATATGTGATATTATATTTTGCTTTATCTATGTTCCACTGTTATTTCTTTTACTTTGATCACCAATGATTGTGTTAGGTTATATTCTCGTTGTCATTATCGTCTGGTCTCGTTTGTTTTAACTTAATTCACTTGGTTTAGGAAACTTCCAAAGACATTCCCCAGACCAACACTTACGAGGTCCCGACGCCCTATATTTGTATCATACACAGTAAGTTACTTTACTTTCCTTCTGATGTTGGATACTAACCGACCTCCTCTTCCACCCGCAGTAAGCAGATGGCGATAGAGGTAGACAACCTGAATGCCCGCGTTGTAGAGGCTGAGACTCGCCTCAAGTCCGAGGTGACCAAGATCAAGAAGAAGATGCAGGTGACTATTACCGAGCTTGAGATGACCCTCGACACAGCCAACAAGTCCAACATTGACCTCCAGAAGACGGTCAAGAGGCAGGGCATCTCCCTTCAGGTAAATTTTATAAGTGAGGCGTTTAGAATAGCAAGGGCTTATATCACCTGGTTTCCCAATTTCCCTTTTTCTGTCAGTCCATAGCTTCAACATTCCTCTGTCAACTTATGATGTCAGACAACGTGGATACACCTTCAGCAAGGTGTAATTCCCATAAGAAAACATGGTTAGGTTAGGTGGATAAAGAGATGGCGACAAAAGGAGATTTTGACAATGTATGTACATATAGCAATATGAGAGAGAGGGGCGAAGAAGGAAGTAACTAACACAAGCGGTTTCTTCCCTGGCAGGAACTACAAGCCCACTACGACGAGCTGCAGCGTCAACTTCAGCAGACCCTGGACCAGTACGGTGTGGCCCAGCGTCGCCTCCAGAGCCTTACAGCAGAGTACGAGGAGGCCCGCGCCAACCTCGACGGTGTAAGTTCTTATTATCTTTAGCTTCACTAACCACACCTGTTGTTAATTACAGTATTATTTTCATCACACCTGTCGTGAATCATTGTATACTTCACCACACCTGACATTAATCACAGTACTACTTTGAATACACCTGTCATTAACCACAGTATTACTTTGACTACACCTGTCATTAACCACAGTATTACTTTGACTACACCTGTCATTAACCACAGTATTACTTTGACTACACCTGTCATTAACCACAGTATTACTTTGACTACACCTGTCATTAACCAAAGTATTACTTTAACTACACCTGTCATTAACCACAGTATTACTTTGACTACACCTGTCATTAACCACAGTATTACTTTGACTACACCTGTCATTAACCACAGTATTACTTTGACTACACCTGTCATTAACCACAGTATTACTTTGACTACACCTGTCATTAACCACAGTCATTAACCACAGTTTACTTTCACTGTCATTAACCACAGTATTACTTTGACTACATGTCATTAACCACAGTATTACTTTGACTACACCTGTCATTAACCACAGTATTACTTTACTACACCTGTCATTAACCACAGTATTACTTTGACTACACCTGTCATTAACCACAGTATTACTTTGACTACACCTGTCATTAACCACAGTATTACTTTGACTACACCTGTCATTAACCACAGTATTACTTTCAGTACACCTGTCATTAACCACAGTATTACTTTGACTACACCTGTATTACATACACCTGTCATTAACCACAGTATTACTTTGTCATTAACCACAGTATTACTTGACTACACCTGTCATTAACCACAGTATTACTTTGACTACACCTGTCATTAACCACAGAAGTGTCATCTTTACTTGTACAGGACTACACCTATGTATTACTTTAACTACACCTGTCATTAACCACAGTATTACTTTGACTACACCTGTCATTAACCACAGTATTACTTTGACTACACCTGTCATTAACCAAAGTATTACTTTAACTACACCTGTCATTAACCACAGTGTTACTTTCACTACACCTGTCATTAACCACAGTATTACTTTCACTACACCTGTCATTAACCACAGTATTACTTTGACTACACCTGTCATTAACCACAGTATTACTTTGACTACACCTGTCATAAACCACAGTATTACTTTCAGTACACCTGTCATTAACCACAGTATTACTTTGACTACACCTGTCATTAACCACAGTATTACTTTCATCACACCTGTCGTCATAAATGAAGTGATCTTTATTGTACAGGTTATGCAAACATTACTCTCAATCTATATATAATATAGAAGCAGGAATACATAACTTAGTGCATCATAAACGCTCTTTGCACTCACCACACCAATTTAGTGAGTTCCAACAAGCGACACATGTACTCACACCGCTCGTCGGGACCATTTCAGTTTTTAGGCCGAGTACTATTTTCATAGCTTTTGAAATGACACTTTCTATGTTTACTGTAAGGCAGTCATCATAACTAGTTTCTATTAAGCTTTTTGTGATGTAGTGGCATCTCTTGACAATAATAGCAAAGGTTTGACTCATTACACAAATGATGCATCAGTCAATTTCTTCTTAATGATGCTAGTTCATAGAGCGGCAACACCCTGCAGGTCTCTGTTGTGTAGTTCACTGTAATGTTACTTCCTGCAGGCTATCCGAGGTCGCCGCTCTGTAGAGATGCAATACGAGGAAGCGTCCGCACGCCTCAAGGACTTGACCACCATCAACGTGAACATCAGCAACGCCAAGGCTAAGCTCGAGCAGGAACTGTGTGTCATCGCTGGGGACTACGATGAAGTCAGCAAGGAATTTAGGGTGAGTATAAACTGACTTAGTTTCATTATATATAATGTATATAACAAATAAATAGCATTGTTATGTTGCCAGAAACCTTAGAGTATGTTGGTTTATATTTGGTTGTGTCAGCAACTGTCTAAACGTGTGGTTGTGTCCACAGCTGAGCGAAGAGAGGCTGAGCAAGACCACCATTGAGCTGAAGCGAACCATCGAACTACTGCACGAGGAGTCTGAGCGTTACGTCAAGATCGAGTCCATCAAGAAGTCTCTCGAGGTCGAGGTCAAGAATCTCACCATCCGCATTGAGAACGTCGAGGCCAACTCCCTCGCCAGCACCAAGAGGATGGTGTCCAAGCTGGAGGGCAGGGTATGTTGTGCAGCCTTGAGGTCAGGGTATGTTGTGCAGCCTTGAGGTCAGGGTATGCTGTGTAGCCTTGACGAGATCAGGGTATGTTGTGCAGCCTTGAGGTCAGGGTATGTTGTGCAGCCTTGACGAGGTCAGGGTATGCTGTGTAGCCTTGACGAGATCAGGGTATGTTGTGTAGCCTTGACGCAGAGTATGTTATGTAGCGCTGACGCAGACAGAGTATGTTGTTTAGCGTTAACGCGGTCAGAGTATGTTGCGTAGCGTTGGCGCAGAGTATCTAGTGTAGCGTTGACGCAGTGTATGTTGTGTAGCGTTGATGCAGTCATTGTATGTTGTGTAGCGTTGATGCAGTCAGTGTATGTTATGTAGCGTTGACGCGGTCTGAGTATGTTATGTAGCGTTGATGCAGTCAGAGTATGTTGTGTAGCATTGACGCAGAGTATGTTGTGTAGCGTTGATGCAGTCATTGTATGTTGTGTAGCGTTGATGCAGTCAAAGTATGTTGCATAGCGTTGATGCAGTCAGAGTATGTTATGTAGCGTTGATGCATTCAAAGTATGTTGCATAGCGTTGATGCAGTCAGAGTATGTTGTGTAGCGTTGACGCAGTGTATGTGTTGTAGCGTTGACACAGTCAGAGTATGATGTGTAGCGTTGACGCAGAGTATGTTATGTAGCACACAGAGTATGTTATGTAGCGTTGAGAGAGTATGATGCGTTGACGCAGAGTATGTTATGTAGCGTTGACAGTCAGAGTATGTTGTGTAGCGTTGACGCAGAGTATGTTATGTAGCGTTGACACAGTCAGAGTATGTTGTGTAGCATTGACGCAGAGTATGTTATGTAGCGTTGACACAGTCAGAGTATGATGCGTTGACGCAGAGTATTTTATGTAGCGTTGAAACAGTCAGAGTATGTTGTGTAGCGTTGACGCAGTGTATGTTATGTAGCGTTGACACAGTCAGAGTATGCTGTATAGCGTTGACGCAGTGTATGTTGTGTAGTGCTGTTAGCACAAAACTCCCAGATAGTACTTGACTCACAGAAGCCCTCATATGACACTCTCCAACATACGACCTAAGCTGTTGCGTCGCCAGGGATGTAAGTACCATAATCAATTTCAGGGAAACTCTCACACGAAGTTATCATTCAGGGAAGCACACACAATCTCTGGTAACTCGCTCCAAAAAGTATCTTTACGATTTTGTGTGAGACAATGTGACAACGGAAGGAAGGATTCTGACAACCCTACAGAAATTCATCGACCACCCCAGTAAAGACAGAGTTTTTGAGCGACTCTACATTAACATAATCAATCAACACTAAATCATATCTTTGATCAGGTTCACGACTTGGAGCTGGCCCTGGATGAGGAGCAGCGCCGCCACGTGGAGACCATCAAGTGCCTGAGGAAGAAGGAGCGTAATGTGAAGGAGCTGGTTCTGCAGTGCGAAGAGGACCACAAGAACATTCAGATACTGCAGGAGACACTCGACAAGACTTACGAGAAGATCAATGTTTACAAGCGCCAGCTCAATGAACAGGTTTGTATCACAGTTTGGAAAAATAATACTGTTTACCTTTATTTAAAACTTTAACTTGTTAGCACACACTAAACATTCTCCTGAACGTCTGTACTGGACAATTCCCTCAAACATCCTTAATCGGAAGACCAACCCAACCCAATCAATACAGAACGCGTCTTTTTGGATTGGCTGTAACGTAACCTTCAAAACATGCTATTGCTGCATGTGTATTACAGCCTCTGAAATATCCTAATGCTGCAACTCTGTATCACAGTCTCTAAAACATCTTTCTCCAAGTGTCTATCAACCACAGACACAACTCCTTGTAGAGCTGTAGCACAACTACATACGCAACTCCTTGTAGAACTGTAACACAACCACAGACACAACTCCTTGTTGAGCTGTAACACAACCACAGACACAACTCCTTGTAGAGCTGTAACACAACCACAGACACAACTCCTTGTAGAGCTGTAACACAACCACAGACACAACTCCTTGTAGAGCTGTAACACAACCACAGACACAACTCCTTGTAGAACTGTAACACAACCACAGACACAACTCCTTGTAGAGCTGTAACACAACCACAGACACAACTCCTTGTAGAACTGTAACACAACCACAGACACAACTCCTTGTAGAGCTGTAACACAACCACAGACACAACTCCTTGTAGAGCTGTAGCACAACTACAGACGCAACTCCTTGTAGAGCTGTAGCACAACCACAGACACAACTCCTTGTAGAGCTGTAACACAACCACAGACACAACTCCTTGTAGAGCTGTAACACAACTACAGACACAACTCCTTGTGGAGCTGTAACACAACTACAGACACAACTCCTTGTAGAGCTGTAGCACAACCACAGACACAACTCCTTGTAGAGCTGTAACACAACCACAGACACAACTCCTTGTAGAGCTGTAGCACAACTACAGACGCAACTCCTTGTAGAGCTGTAGCACAACTACAGACACAACTCCTTGTAGAGCTGTAGCACAACTACAGACGCAACTCCTTGTAGAGCTGTAGCACAACCACAGACACAACTCCTTGTAGAGCTGTAGCACAACTACAGACACAACTCCTTGTAGAGCTGTAGCACAACCACAGACACAACTCCTTGTAGAGCTGTAGCACAACCACAGACGCAACTCCTTGTAGAGCACAACTACAGTCCTTGTAGAGCTGTACACACCACAGACACAACTCCTTGTAGAGCTGTAGCACAACTACAGACGCAACTCCTTGTAGAGCTGTAGCACACACCACAGACACAACTCCTTGTAGAGCTGTAGCACAACTACAGACACAACTCCTTGTAGAGCTGTAGCACAACCACAGACAGACACTCCTGTAGAGCTGTAGCTGTACACAACCACAGACGCAACTCCTTGTAGAGCTGTAGCACAACTACAGACGCAACTCCTTGTAGAGCTGTAGCACAACTACAGACACAACTCCTTGTAGAGCACAACCAACAGAGCAGCACAACAGACACAACTCCTTGTAGAGCTGTAACACAACCACAGACACAACTCCTTGTAGAGCTGTAACACAACCACAGACACAACTCCTTGTAGAGCTGTAGCACAACCACAGACACAACTCCTTGTAGAGCTGTAGCACAACCACAGACACAACTCCTTGTAGAGCTGTAACACAACCACAGACACAACCCCTTGTAGAGCTGTAGCACAACTCCTTGTAGAGCTGTAGCACAACTACAGACGCAACTCCTTGTAGAGCTGTAGCACAACTCCTTGTAGAGCTGTAGCACAACCACAGACACAACTCCTTGTAGAGCTGTAGCACAACCACAGACGCAACTCCTTGTAGAGCTGTAGCACAAACAAACACAATTCTCTATACAGGGATGTTTACATCTGCCGTTATAGGATGTTTACCTGTATTGTATTATCGCCGTTTTTCAGGAGTCCGTGTCATCGACCAACCTGACCCGCGTGCGCAGGTTCCAGCGAGAGTTGGAGGCTGCTGAGGAGCGCGCAGAGACAGCTGAGAGCAGCCTGAGCATGATCCGCGCTAAGCACCGCACCTTCGTCACCTGCCAAACCACGCAGTTGCCCAGTGGCGAGACCGTCATTGTCAAGGAGACTGTCTCCCAGCAGTAGAGGCCCCTTCCCCCCGCCTCACTCAGTCACCCGAAACACCCACTTCAATAATAACATATTATCTTGTCTATTTTCTTAAACGTGATAGACATATTCAATCTCTCTATTCATAGAGATTGTTATTCTAAGAATCTATATATGTTAAAATTAATACTAACTCGTAACAAATGTAAGACGAATCATTTTTAGAACATCCGCCCAATTATATTGTAACAGAAAAATGTTTGTAATTCTTCCTACTATCACAATGTGCTGATTAGATTGTAAAAAAAATGGACACAATAAACGATTTGTCATACGCCAGAGAGTGTGAGTACTATTGCTTAGGAAGCCTGTCCACTGCAGTAGGTCGGGTGCAGCGAAGGTGTGTCCTGCCTGACCACATGTTGTGTTTAGGGCGTTTATTCTGACTTATGATAGATCTCCTATATGACTTGGGCGTCTCGTCGGGGAGGTTCACGCCCATACTGACTGTTATATACCATGAAATTCTACATGGGAATCATTTAAAACAGTTGAGATTTTTATATGGTATGCAGAATTACTTGCTACATTAGAGTCAGGATAATAACAAATCGGTAGTTAAGGGAAAGGAACAAACGACAAACAACCACATAAAGTATTGTGTATCTTACCTTGCAAGTGAGACACTGCGAGGAGAACATTACTCTGGATCTAGTGTAGCAAACGGCAGGGATGCCTCGGACACTGAACTATGACCAAGGTCACACTCCCGCCTCTGGCCCACTGTCAGGAGGTTGGAGTGACTCACCCCCTAGTTTAACATGTGTGTAAAATGTAATTAGTTGTGAATATAAACAAGTTGATCTATATTCCATACTAAGAATTTCAAGAATTACTGGTGTTAGGTTTCGGGGTTAAGTTTATCAGTGTCGGATGAGTAGTGTGGCTGGGATATACACTGTCTTGCCCACAGTCCCTAACCACAACACCCGGCGGTATACCACAAGTTCAGACACTCCCTCGCTCACTCTCTACTGAATCTTACTGTCAGCTTACTGTGCAGTCAACTTCTAAAGTTCGATCGCCTCTCCTTCTGAACCACGAAACCCGAGATTCAGACTCATGAATCCGAAGCATTTATGGTCAAAATAATGTATCAGTATACTACTTCGGGATCCCGAACCTGAATCTCGGGTTGCGTGGTTCAGGAAGAGAGGTGAACGAACTTTAGTAGTTGACTATACAATAAAACGTGGTATCTTAGCCTACAGGAGAACGGACTAATATTGGGTACAGTGTATCGATGTGTTGTTAAAAGATTCAACTTGACGAGTAATGAAGTGAGGCTTTGGGCAGCTTGAACACACACACACACATTGTAAGGGTGACTGCTTCAACTTCTCATGCTCCTACTAACACCACTCGTGAGATAATTATTAACATACTTCAGTTATAGAACAAACAATATGTTTTCCTTTGTGTACGACTCTGCTGCACTATACTGCATTAGAGAGTCCAAGTTCTCACATGATAAAGCTAGCTAAACTTCTCTTATATCTCTTGTTTGGATTTAAAGGATTCTCACGCTATTTATGAGCGTTTGGTCCGAGACTCTGTGATGTGGAAAAAATATTCGTGTGTTATCGATGTATTACTCTTAAGTTGAATTCAAACATTGCCTGAAGATTCGTGCTCAGAATTTATAAATGAAATCAGATTATAAATTTCACCCTTCATACCTTTCTCTTCCTATGTTCTGACTGACGTCTCATCTTACCCTGTTTACATTGTTCACCCTCCGCTAGTCGATCTTTCAGCTGTAGGCCTACAGTACAACGCTAACAGTCACTAATATATCATGTATAAAGATGACATCGTGATACTTAAATATAAAATAATGGGAGGGTGACTTGCAATTTTAATATTTTTTATTCCTAAAAATCCCATATCTGGAAGACTACTATAAACTGTAGGTACCACTGTGTAGCTTGTAGTAGACGGAGATAACGTGTTTCAACGTGTCTGTATTCCCGACAGCTCTTAAGACTTTCTCTTGTAATGAACGTAACACTCTTCCTGGGGTACACAGAACATAAGTTGTGCATGTGGTGGTTCGTGGTATTGTTGTGTATTGTAACGCTATTGTTGATCCTGCGGGATCAACGCCATTATTAGAAAGTCAATAAAAGAGCTTGGTCTTCCTAATAGTTTTATTGCTCCATTAACATCAAAATGAAATCCCTACGTAATCCAGAACTGATCCGTAAGAGAATGTAACAATGTAATTTTTTCAGATACTCATAAAACCTAAAGCTTTGCAAAAGTTTGACTAAGAAAAACAATATAAAATCACATCACTGGAAATATCACTTTATTAAATGTAATTTAAAAACGTAAGAACAAAAATTGATAGTTTATGTACGTGCTCTTTAGAGGCAGACAGTTGGGCGTTAAATATATTAATGGTCTATTAAGTCTTTAGATAAATATTTTATTTTCTGTGGTAAGTTTTTGTTAGGAATTAGGAATCTTTGCTAGCAGTAACTTCTCCCAATGTTGGGTTAATATGATAAAAAGTAATTCAACGTTTTGTGTTTATGTCTACACGACTTATAATGCCTCCTGTTTGCTATTAAGGGTGACCTCAGTAAATCTTCGGGCAGGCGAGACAGAGGGGTGATGGGCAGCCAGGACAGCCATGCGTCGCCACCGGCCAGCCAGTTCCATCCTTCTCTTCTCTTCTTTAGCCAGAGAACTTGTTACATCTTCTTCACTCCAACCTTGTTGTCTCCCGGCGGCGAGTTCAGTCGGTGCTGACGATCTCATAGAGGCGACTTTCTTCACTAACGAGGCACCGAATGTAGGCGGAGCTTTCTCTTGTTCCTTTGCCCTTTGAAGGAGAATTTGTACTTTGGCTTCTTCCCATTTTGCCCTAAGCAATTCAGGGTTAGGAGTTATTCGGAAAGTGTGGTCCTTAGATCCTTTGCGACAGTATAGTACGTACATGATGATGCAGGCGGCGATGGAGAGAACCAGGGGCAGCACTCCCAGCACCACCTGTGCTGTTACAAACGTATAGTCAACGTCGGAAACAGCAAGGCGGCCGTCAGCACTGAGGTAACAGGTGAAGGTGGTGCCCACACGACCGTATTGCCTCCACCACGCCTCACACGACCTATAGCCACAACCCTCCACGTTAGTCTGGAGCTTTACTAACGCTGACTCGCGCGTCTTCAAGTCTCCAGGAACTAATTCATTCATCAGCAGCATCTCGTTAATAAAGTTCTCTCTGCTTGTTAGTTTGTCTTTAATTACTTCAGTTACAATAGACGTGTCAACAATAGAATCATTCACTGTTTGCTCACTAATCACAACCTCATTTGCTACCTCTGTAAATTTCTGAATTCGTTCATGATAATGTATGGAAGAAATAGTTTCTTCTGAGTTGTCAATAAAATTTCCTTCAAATGATTGGTTAAAGAAAATTTGCTGTTGAGTTGAGTTAAGAAGAAGTATAAGGACGTGCCAGCAGACGTAGATCTCATGGGCGGTGCAGCCTTGTCGACACGAGCTCCACGTGCAATTATTTTTTCCCTCGAGAAAGTTACTGTCAGCGACGATACAGAAGGCTGTGTGAAAGCGGGCGGCCAGCGTGGCTAGACCAGGACCCAGCAGCATGTATAGAGACATATAAAATAAGGGCAGACCAAAGGTTGCCAGTAAGACCAGCACAGCAGCCCGAAGGCGTAAGAACAGTGCTCGCAACCCGTTTATGAACCTGTGACAACATCGTTTAGGTGGCTTAGGTTTCTCCGGTGCCTTGGGGGGATTTTGAGAAGGCGGTTTCCTTCCCTGTAACGAGTCTATAACATCATACATTGTCAGTTACTACACAAAACTATACACTAGCACAGCACAATACTTCATCGCCGAAGTACTACGAAATGCGCACTTTCAATAAGTCTCAAGCATATACTGTATATGAGTAAGTCATTCCTCAATAGCAATACCAAATAATTCACCCAATAAGACAAAATGTTATTATATATACTTTTCATTCTGACACACAAAAAAAAAACAAATTTTGAGCATTTTGGTTCGAACGTTGAAATGTTGTTGCTATTTCCTTACGTCTTTCACAGGTAGTGTATGTATTATTTGTCAAGGTTAATTAACACATTTTAAGATCTCCGTGATTCATAACGAACAGGCAGCCAAGAACTACCAGTAAGTGTAGAAGTATAGAGCAGCGAGAGGCAGGTAGGTGTCGCCCGAGTGTCTTCCTCGCTACACCTCTCCTACTCTACTCACATTGACTGTTCGTTTGTACAGCTCAGTGATCTAACAAGTTCACGTCACGTATTCAGCCTCAGGTTTCCAAATCTTCTCTTTCACAAAGAAATTCTCTAAATACCTCAGGGTCTTGTAAGTTCACGATATAATCATGCCATGTACTGGTTTAGGCATAATTTTACATAATGCCTGTCAGCATATTCTAGTAGGGAGAACTACAAAACAAATATAATATTAAGTCTTTATGGCAGCACATAGGAGGACAGCCCCAGCATCCGACCCTGGAAGTTGGTCAGTCAATCACCAATATTGGGAATCTTGCCTTGGGTGTCCACACTCTGGTTCCTGCCATCCATCTGCTGCTGGCTCTCTCAACTCTCCCTACCACACATTATCCACCATATAAACTCTCTTAATACCACGAACTTAAGTACTACAGAGCTCTAAGTTACTTTAAGTACCATTAACAACTGAAAAATGGTGCGATGGCTAAGTAGATACGACACTTGCCTCCAAGGACCCTCAGTCCACACCATGCACACTATACTGCAACTACCATGCACATCATAACTACCATACACACCATAACTACCGTACGCTACACCCAGCCAACAAGTCCTGAATCACACCTCGGATTAAACGACCTTTGCAAGAATGAGTTACGATCATTTATCTCAAAGTCAACAACATGCTATCCAGCCAACCTACAACACCACAGGTAGAGTTATAGTGATGTTATGATAGGGTCTTGCAGGTGTAATGGGTGAATGTGGTGGTTGTGATAGGTGAGTGTGGTGGGTGAGAGTGGTGGGTGAAAATGGTGGATGAGTGTCGGTGAGTGTGGTGGGTGAGAGTGAAGAGTGTGGTGGATGAGTGTGGTGGATGAGTGTGGTGGGGGCATTAGTACAATATCTCGCCCATGACCCGAGTATTGATATTCGTGACTTGGCCAAGAAAATAATAAAATATGCAGCGTCGACTTATTGAATATTGGGTTTGTTATGTACCTTCACACACACGCATGCACACTGGTCTACCTTTTACCATTTCCATTTTTTTTGTCTCGTTTGTTGCACCCTTTTAGAACTACCGTTTTTGCGAGTTAAAGTTTGTTTTTTGTGATACTACTTCTGAAAATGTCAAACAGCTTCATCAGTCGTCCACAAGAATTAATAAGTAAAAAAACAAAAAACCTTATTAGCAATGTAGCGTGTGTTTACAAGTCTGTGTTATGATTGTCTAATATAGGAGTAATCATTTCCACGTTGTCATGAGGAACCTTAACTTGGGAACCCCGAAAGCTTTATATTTCTGTAGCAACATTCAAAGAATTAGACTCACTGGATCCAACACAGAAAGTGATACACCAATTGTGACTTTACCCCAAGAACAATGACGCTCCAACAGTAAGATGCTGGGACCTCCAACAGTAAGATGCTGGGACCTCCAACAGTAAGATGCTGGGACCTCCAACAGTAAGATGCTGGGACCTCCAACAGTAAGATGCTGAGACCTCAACAGTAAGATGCTGGGACCTCCAACAGTAAGATGCTGGGACCTCCAACAGTAAGATGCTGGGACCTAAGATGCTGGGACCTCCAACAGTAAGATGCTGGGACCTCCAACAGTAAGATGCTGGGACCTCCAACAGTAAGATGCTGGGACCTCCAACAGTAAGATGCTGGGACCTCCAACAGTAAGATGCTGGACCTCAACAGTAAGATGCTGGGACCTCCAACAGTAAGATGCTGGGACCTCCAACAGTAAGATGCTGGGACCTCCAACAGTAAGATGCTGGGACCTCCAGCAGTAAGATGCTGGGACCTCCAACAGTAAGATGCTGGGACCTCCAACAGTAGATGCTGGGACCTCCAACAGTAAGATGCTGGGCTGGGACCTCCAACAGTAAGATGCTGGGACCTCCAACAGTAAGTGCTGGGACCTCCAGCAGTAAGATGCTGGGACCTCCAACAGTAAGATGCTGGGACCTCCAACACCAACAGTAAGATGCTGGGACCTCCAACAGTAAGATGCTGGGACCTCCAACAGTAAGATGCTGGGACCTCCAACAGTAAGATGCTGGGACCTCCAACAGTAAGATGCTGGGACCTCCAACAGTAAGATGCTGGGACTCCAACAGTAAGATGCTGGGACCTCCAACAGTAAGATGCTGGGACCTCCAACAGTAAGATGCTGGGACCTCCAACAGTAAGATGCTGGGACCTCCAACAGTAAGATGCTGGGACCTCCAACAGTAAGATGCTGGGACCTCCAACAGTAAGATGCTGGGACCTCCAACAGTAAGATGCTGGGACCTCAACAGCAAGATGCTGGGACCTCAACAGTAAGATGCTGGGACCGCAACAGTAAGATGCTGGAACCTCCAACAGTAAGATGCTGGGACCGCAACAGTAAGATGCTGGGACCTCCAACAGTAAGATGCTGGGACCTCCAACAGTAAGATGCTGGGACCTCCAACAGTAAGATGCTGGGACCTCCAACAGTAAGATGCCGGTACGTCTAACAGTAGATGCTGGGACCTCAACAGTAAGATGCTGGGACCTCCAACAAGATCGGACCTCAACAGTAAGATGCTGGGACCCACAAACACACAACACCCACAAACACCCACAACCCAACAGTAGATGCTGGGACCTCCAACAGTAAGATGCCGGTACTCAACAGAGATCGGGACCTCCAACATAATGCTGGGACCTCCAACAGTAAGATGCTGGGACCTCCAACAGTAAGATGCTGGGACCTCAACAGTAGATGCTGGGACCTCCAACAGTAAGATGCTGGGACCTCCAACAGTAAGATGCTGGGACCTCCAACAGTAAGATGCTGGGACCTCAACAGTAAGATGCTGGGACCTCCAACAGTAAGATGCTGGGACCTCCAACAGTA